ATCTTTATGAGTATGACTACTCTGATTTCTGTTTTCCTTTCTCTCTCTATGGAGTAGAACCTTTCTCTCACTTGGGTATGAAGAACCCTAGTTCCTTTTGTTAGGGAATCGATTGTAATGACTTGGGATGATATTATTGTTTGATTTTAATCTAATGATGCATGTTTATTGAATTGATTGGAGTCTGATCAGCTTTTCTCAATTTCTGCTGCAACCTGAGATAGATAGAATCTGATTAGGTTGTTAGAGCTTCTTCATTCGATAGTAGGAGATTGGCTATACGAGAGTTAGCCAGTTTACTTCTTTGTACTGGAACTCAATTCCAGTAGTGGAGTTCTGTGTTCATAGCCTCAGCTTTCTATCCCGGTGAAGACTAGTCGTCTGCCGGGTAGTTAGACTGAGAGGGCTTGGTCAGCTTAAGAGATTCCAAGCTACTGTCGGATCTTCCGCAGTCTAATCAACAGTAAATCAACCCAGGGAATTACAATTGAACCTAACTAAGGGGCTAGGGGGACTCATTCCCGAGTGACTCTTACCTGCTTTAGAAAACCGAACAGTTTACTGCCTCCCGGAGTATACTGGAGCTGTTTTCACACCGGGCCACACCACGGCCACTCAGCTGCGACCAGAGTGGCGCATCATCAACCAGCTGTTGGGGAAATCCTACACCCCCAGCGAGGGCTCCACCAGTCATCTTCAGCTCCGCACCCTGCATTGCCTGCACTCCATGAGCCACGAGGAGGACAACCTCCATCTGTCCTCTCTCATCGCCAGGACCGTTGCCAAGCATAAACGGTGTAATCGACGCCTGGCGTGTGGGCCGGTGGTCACTGCCCTGGCGCGGTACTACAACGTCGATCTCTCCAGGTTCACTCTCATCCAAGAGGCGACGCCATTCTCCAAGGAGACCCTCCGGCGCCAGCTGATACTGGAGCGCGACGGGCACGTGACCTGGATCCGGGGCCTTCCTCGCCATGTTCCTCGTGCACCAGAGGGTGAGGAGCTACCCGAGGCAAGTGATGCTGCAGCCCGTCGGACCACTCGTCACTCGGGCCACCCCCTCTGCACCTGGCGACTCCACTTCCGGTGCCGGCCCGTCTGCTGCGCAGCCCACCACCTACATTGCCGAGCAGCTGGCAGCCCTTTCCCGCCAGAACGAGCAGATCCTTGTTGGCCAGGAGCACATCAACGCCCGCCTCGACCGTGAGCGCGAGGGTCGCCGCCACATCATTTCAGCTCAACATTACATGATGAGCTACTGGAACATGGATCCTGCTGCTGTGAGCTACCCTTGGGAGGCGTCCCCGGGGCATGAAGACTTCTACCCGCCTCCCACTGGCGATGGAGGCGACGAGCTGTGATCTGATTTTGCCAGCCCATCGAGTTGGGGCTTGGCTTTTGTCTATCTTTCCAGATCTAGACTCCGGATTATGTTTGATTTTATTTCTTGTTTCCGTTGTGTGGCTTGTTGACTTGGAACTTCGTTTTATTTCACCCAATGTGTGTGTTCTGTTGGTTCTAGCTCTGTGCCCATCGGACTGGTCCTTGTCCAGTCCTCTGCTTTTGACTGGTCCGCCATCTAGTCAACGTTCATGACCACTGTTTCACGGTAACATCGTTCCCCTTCCCTTCGCTCCATTGAGGACACTGTCGCATTTAAGTGTGGAGGGGTTCTTTGTATTTATTGGAACGTATATATGGGTGCTTGGAGCCTAGTCCGCTGTCCGAATCTTACGATTTGAGGGCTCCAAGCACTGCTGTTTGATCATATTGGCACTGTGAGTTGATTGATGAATTGAACGGTTTTCGGATTAATGCATGACAACTTGTTAGCGACTAGGACAACCTATAATGAGGACTGAGATGTGCAGTAGAACGATGTAAGGGTTCAGTTTTTCAGCTGTTTGCTTACCAACCGTGACTTGATCTGATTACTTGTTCTTGACAGTCGTTTTTGCATCTAGTTCAGGGTATCAGAATGTGAGATAGAGCATATAGGTAGCCATGTGAGATTTGAGCCTGCTCGTTTCTTTCTTGTGCGATAGATCCCTCTTCCATGATGTGTAGCATTCACGTTGTCACTAGCTAAGATGATGGGGGCATAGGATTAGCCCACGCCCAAAACTGACTATCCTGATGTGTCATATCCCCTAGTCAGCCCCTTTGAGCCGTGTGTTATCCTTTCTTTTGGTCTATAATGAAAAAAATCACCCTTGTTGCATCTTTTAGAAGGTTCCACAGAGTGGTTTTTACATATTCTCTGCTATTTCTGCTAAAGTCTATGTGAGTGTTGGAGGTAGTGCTTAAAGGTTGGGCAGATGTTCTAAATATGTGCAGAAGTGGTGGCTCTCTTAAGAAATGAAAAGAAAAATAAAAGAAAAACAAAGAAAATTTGAAAGCAAAAGAGAGCCACTACCAAAAATCTGAATAATGCCCATTAAGTAGTGTTTCTTGGCAGTCTGGCTTGGAAATGCTGATGTTTATGCCTCCTTCGCTCTTGTGCTCTTGAGATATTGAGTAATGCAGATTAGCAGAAAGAAAATACCGGTTTGTTGGATTGTGATTGTGTGTTTGGAAAATGTGGAACCTTTTGCTATGAATACTTCCACCACCTAAAAGGCTTTTCCCCCATGTCCAAGACCCTAGCCAGTCATTTGAACCTGTGTCTAAGACCTCCTGATTAGTTAGTGGTGACACCCCATAGGTGAACTCTAGCATTTAGAGGCTGCCATCATGGTGAAGAGATGATAGGGATTGAGAGAGATAGCATGCGCATCTTTCGCATTAAATTGTCCTGACCCCACTGGTCGAGAGTGAGTGATTCATTTTCATATTCTCTATACTCTTGTACCCCGGTGAGGACCTAGATTGCTCGGTCTCTGTTCTGATGTTTTGAGTTGGATGCATGAGTTGACTGTTTTGAGTGAGTGGTCGAGTCAAGTCTGGGTTGGTTGGTGAACAGAAGGGAAACTCTTCCGTTGCTCGATTTTGCTGCACTCGAATGTCCTTTGTGGTGGTTGTCCAGGTTGCTATTAAAGTTGTTCATGTGTTGATGTTTGAAAACTAGTTTGATTCACGTGTTCTGTGCCTTTATGACTTGTCCCCAATGTTGGTTGACTGAAATATGTGAGCTTACCTTGTGTAGTACTTGGTTTGCTTGGGGACAAGCAAACAGTTAAGTGTGGGGGAATTTGATAGCATCGTATTTGCACGTGTTTTCACTCTGGTTTCCTGTCCATTTTGGCTCGAATTGATTGTTCCTTGGCCTATTTTACGCTAGGTTGTGTTGTTTTGTCGTATTTCAGGTCCTAGCAAGTAAAGAGGTGCATAGGCGCAAGTTTCGGGTCATTTGGAGGTCAATTGGCGAGTCACAGAGAGAATTACGGGCAGCCCCTGCCAAATTACGGCCGTAATTGGCCAGGGCATGCCCGTAATTAAATGGCCGAGCCTTCTCCCCAGAATTCCCTCTCGGTGGTAAAATTACGGGCAAGATCCCAAGAATTACGGCCGTAGTTCCCAAATTACTGGCGGTAATTTGTAAATTACGGGCGTATCTCCTCCCCCTGCAGCCTAAGTGAAACGTGCGTTTTGGTGCGAATTACGGGCAGGACATGATTACGGCCGTAATTCTGCCCGTAATTCGCCCAGAGTCGGGTTTTTGGAGGCAGATTCGAGCCAAGGAAGATGAATTCGATTTTCTGGGCAAAAACAGAGTTTTAGAGAGAGAAAGAGCGAAGAACAAACCTTAGGAGCTATTTTGGAGTGGACTTCTCATCATTGAAGCCCAGATTGCGTCCCTAGGAGTGAAGATTGACATCCCAGAGCAGATTTTCCTCATCTTTATGAGTATGACTACTCTGATTTCTGTTTTCCTTTCTCTCTCTATGGAGTAGAACTTTTCTCTCACTTGGGTATGAAGAACCCTAGTTCCTTTTGTTAGGGAATCATTTGTAATGACTTGGGATGATATTATTGTTTGATTTTAATCGAATGATGCATGTTTATTGAATTGATTGGAGTCTGATCAGCTTTTCTCAATTTCTGCTGCAACCTGAGATAGATAGAATCTGATTAGGTTGTTAGAGCTTCTTCATTCGATAGTAGGAGATTGGCTATACGAGAGTTAGCCAGTTTACTGCTTTGTACTGGAACTCAATTCCAGTAGTGGAGTTCTGTGTTCATAGCCTCAGCTTTCTATCCCGGTGAAGACTAGTCGTCTGCCGGGTAGTTAGACTGAGAGGGCTTGGTCAGCTTAAGAGATTCCAAGCTACTGTCGGATCTTCCGCAGTCTAATCAACAGTAAATCAACCCAGGGAATTACAATTGAACCTAACTAAGGGGCTAGGGGGACTCATTCCCGAGTGACTCTTACCTGCTTTAGAAAACCGAACAGTTTACTGCTTTCTTACTGCTTTTGCTTTTAAACAACAATCACTCGAATTAGTTTGCTAGATAATAGAGAATCACGGAGTAAGCAGTAGATCTAGACCCCGGGTTGATAATATAACTTGGCTGTTACTGCATTCCCGGACTGCGATTACACTTGGTCGCAGTTTGGTGTTGTGTTTTGGCGTGTCACCCCGATGATGAAAATGATAACTCATCTACAAAACCAAAAATCAGTCTGGTCTTGCCACTGATCTTGCCACTCATAACATTATTAAACGTAAGAAAGGAAAGAAATAATAATAGCACCTTTGAAGTCACCCACACTAACAGCTGAAATGACCAGTATAGTCTGATCATCACCATGAGCATCAATAATCTTATCAAACTGTTGAATAACTCTTCCCCAAATAACTACTTTGACAACATCACCCCTACATAAATTTGAAATAAATATCTAATATGTTTAAAAAACTAATCTTGCAAACAAACATGAATGACGAAAGTGCAATAATGCTCCCTTAACAAATAAAAGAAAAACCAACCAGATAGTGAGCAATCAAATTCAACAAAAGTTTTCTAAATGCCTTTCATGTCAAACATATAAAAAAAACTCACTCAATCAGTTGCAATGTGAGCTCTTTCCTTATAGTTTTCCGAGTAAGGCTGGTAGTAGTAATTGCATCTGAATGTGTGCGCAGTCGACCAACAACATCTACAACAAATCATTTTAATAAAATAAAATCAGATACACATTATTTGCTAACTGAAAATACATGTAAGAATGAAGAAGTAACCTGAAAGGATCTCAACATGACCCAATTTGCCTGCCATCTGACTTGCATTTAGGAAACTGAATTTGAAGGTCGAAATTGCAGGAACTTCAGGAACATGATGAACAGTTGTCTTCCTACTAAATTGTATCAAATATGGATTCCCAATAGGTCGATATTTCAGTCCAGTTGTATTGATATCGAAGTTCTTGATAATGTAACCATGGTTCTCCTTCAGCATCTTCTTAAAATTTTCTATCAACACAGGAGGGATTTGTACCCAGATATCATTGCCCTTCAAAATGGGAACGAAAACTAAATTTAAAAAACAGCACTCATTTTGGAACAGAATCTTCATATGCCATGAAAGAAGTGAGTACCTTTGAATCCATCAGAATGAGGTCGAAATGGAGAACTTTGTCTGTATGTACATTCACCCCAAGCCACATTCTGGAGACACGACATTGACCTGACCAAATCTTCTTCTCCGACTCAAGGTCACGAATGCTCTGGGAATCCATTCTAGAGACTCAGCAACAAAAAAGGAGGTTATTGAAGAGCTACGGGATTGCATCAAATCAGTAGATACAGTTAAAAAAATTGAACGTGAATTGATACCTGGGAGAAAAACAATTGAGCACAGAAAATTGTCAACTGCTGTGTCTAAGTTGATATATATATTTCTCGAAGACAGTAGCAGTTACTTCAACTTTGAAAAAGCCACGTCGGCCACGCAGAGCTACATTTTCGGAATGGAGAGAAGCTGCACACACTCGGACGATTCCCGTGGAAGATTATTGCTGAATGGAGATAACTGTAACTCTGGGCAACTATGACCTTCATTTTGTAAATATAACTCGCAAAATTTGAGAGGGCCTTCTAACTTGGTCTCTTCTATGCAACTAATTCTGACTCCTGGGTTTCCCAATTTCAGACCTCGTTCCAGCTGAGAGCTCATCATCTTCACCTCAACGCTAAATTTGATATGTATTTGGGCGAGATTGGTAAACTGATTAATAGAATGGTGCAAATAGGATTGGAATTTGGTTGGAGATGGAAAGACGAATGTGATTTCACCGGCGGCACCAAGCAAAGGGGAATCTACCGCAAATACAAAAATGGAGCTAGGGTTCCCTATGGCTTCACCGCCAGTTAATTGTGGTCTTATTTGTGGCAGCATTTGAAGGTAATCAAATTGATTCAAAATATGAGGCTAGCACGTGGCAATCAATGTCCAGAAGAAATGCTAGCAATTGCTGATTTCCAGAATTGGCTTTTGCAAATTGGTGATGGGGTTGATTCAGATGTTTTTGGTGAGTCTACTATTTCTATTCCACATGAGTTATTAGTACCTCGCCAATCAGATCCTGTTACTGATATTGTGGGTTCAATTTATGGTGATCTTTTGAGTCATTATTCGGATCATAATTATTTGGTCAGACGAGCTATTTTGGCACCACACCATGATATGGTTTCTGCAATCAATACATTTATTTTAGCAAAATTTCCAGGAGATGAGGTCACATATTTTAGCTCAGATTCAATTGAAGTGGACCCTGGAAAGGAGGGTGTGGTGGATGCTTATTATACTACTGAGTTTCTAAATACATTGAAGGTTGGTAACTTTCCTGATTATGAACTGAAACTTAAAGTGGGATGTCCAGTAATTTTGATGCGGAATATGGATCAAACAGTTGGGCTGTGCAATGGTACGAGAATGATTGTTAAGACTTTGGGAAAATGGTTCATTGAGGTGGAGGTCTTGACCGGTACCAATGTAGGTGATCGTGTGTTTCTCCCTAGACTTACATTGTCAACATATTACAAAAGTCTTAATTTTACTCTCCTTAGAAGACAATATCCTATTGCTCTGTGTTTTGGCATGACTATTAATAAAAGTCAGGGACAAACACTCGATCATGTTGGCTTATGTCTCCAGAGGCAGGTTTTCAGTCATGGCCAACTCTATGTTGCATTGTCCAGAATTACAACAAGGCAAGGTCTCAAAATCTTGATTGAGAATGATAATGATGAAGACCCGAACTCGATGCTAAACATAGTATTCCCAGAAATTTTTGATTGAATTTACAAGTTGCAGTGTGGTTTGCATGATCAGACATGGGATTAATTTGCTATATTTATTCCTTTGTAATACAGCTTTGCTTCTCTTTAGCTGTAAATGTCAAACTTGCTTCCTTTTTATTCAAGCAACTCTACCCATGTCTATTGTTTAAAATAGTAGTAGTGCTCTTAATGTGTTATTAACATATTATTATTCCCATGGAGAACAAATGGATCATTTGGTGCATTTGTTTGGTATTAATTTATTTGGAATTGAGAACAGTGGAGTCTTATTCCAATTTAGTGTCATTAGTTCTAATTAGGATCTATTTTGATTTATATTTGATATTTACTCACTACAACAAATTCGGCCTATTACGACTAGGCAATTTTGTCATATTAGATACAAATTTTGTCATATTAGGTATAATATGACAAGAGCTATTGTCACAAAGGTTTGTCATTTTATCGCCGTCAGGATAGCTCAAATGTGACAAAAATTTAAAACAAGTTTGTCACATTTGCTTTCAGTATAGCTGAGATTCTGGGTAGTCTATTGTGACAAACAGAGATGTTCTGACGACATATTTTGTCATTACGGTTGTCATAATCTGGTGATTTTGGAGAATTGTTCGTCATATTACACAATTATATTTTGTCATAACTGTATAATGTGACGACTACATTTTGTCACAAGTTTTTATTGTGACGACATTATTTTGTCACAAGTTTTTATTGTGACGACATTATTTTGTCATAACTAAATATTATGATGAATATATTTATCATAACTGCATATTATGACGAGTATATGTTGTCAAGATAGGTGGTTTATTTGTCTCATGTCTAATATGACAAGAGAACAATTTGTCAGGCAATGTACATAATGTGACGACATGACATTGTTGTCACATTTGACCTGCTTCAAAATTTTCATAATTCGAAATTGTTTCCTGCATTGCAACCTGATAATGGAAAGATTACCAAAGATCTAAAACATTACAACTATTTCCATAGCAGTCTAACTCCTTGTTCAGCATAACCAAACATTCTAAATTGTTCACCATGACACAAAACATTCTAACTCCTTTGCGAATCTTGGGTTCTCCTTCGGTCCATGCTTCACCTTTTTCTTCAGGACCTTCTAAACAATCTCACGGCTTACTCCTCAAGTCAATGATGATACGGTGATGAGCTCGAGCCGCTTAGACTTCACATGAGAACAATGAAGCTCTGGTCGAAAGGACACGATTTGTGAACCGGTTTTCTCTAAACATTTTCTTGATTAGATTTTGAAGCTCCTGGTTTTCACACTTTGGTAAACGCTATCTTGTGCCAGGAAAATTCAAGTCAAAATGTAAAACATGTTCTTAGTTTCATGTTCAGAAAGTTCTTTCCTATGTCAGAAAAATTCAAAATGGGTTTAGTAAAACCAAACAACACAGCTGAATATATGTAGCAAACATGACTGTTCAATTAAAATATAGCTAAAACAGGTAGTATGATAAGATCATGAGAGTGAACATACCTTTTAAAGAATTGTCCATGGAACCAGAGAAGAGTTTGTTAGCTCCAACAACTAATGAGACAACAACTAACGTATGACCCTTAAGTGATGCAGCTGGCTCAAAGATTCTTGTGGCTGCATTATATATCCATGCCAAGATTGCTGAATCATGCACTAAATATTTTCACAGTTATAAGTTGTTCATCCTATACAACTGCAAATGAATGACTACACGCAGCAGGAGGATGAATAGCATCATCCAGAAGTCTAATGCAACAAAATTATCACTAATATGTCCAAACTTCAGTTTATGAAGTTGAGCCCCAGATAAGGACAGAAAGATCCATAATCCAGTGACATATTACATGGGTGCCAGCAAATAGCAAGCCACTACCCACAACCATAGCATAAACTTGTCCAACAGGCCCACTAAGACTTAGGTCAGCGTTGGTCTGCAAGTTCCATGCATGAAAAATATGCAAACCCTTAGTTATCAATTTGAAAAGGGACTATCATTGGTCACAAAAAGAACTAACTCAGAAAAATGCAGATACTAACTCACTGGCAGACATAAACTAAAAGCAAAGATCAAGCATACTGGGAATCGACTAAATCTCATGTCTTCCTAACCTTCACAAGATTTGGGATACCGAAAAAAATCCATGGACATTCGGTGATCATGCAACCTAATTCACCACCCAGATTGATAACTCCCATGCATTGGATAATCACGACAAGTAAACTATTAGAAAACTTATACAGTAAAAGATTACAGAACAAGGAATTGAGGAACCAACTATTTATACAGTTAGACTATAGCAACCTGGCCGGATTGGCAATCCCAAATCCTGACAGTTTCATCTTGGCTCCCCGTGTAAAAGCTTATTAGACCTAGATGGCAAAGCAATCCCACTGACAACCTGCTCATCATAACAAGAACAAATCCGATTATTTTAACTTCGGAGCAGGAGAAACAAACTAGATGGCTAGTTTTAATTAGACACAAAGAACAACCATTTGCAGGCACATAATCACAACACGTCAATATTAATGGGAGAGAGAACTGCTACTAACTAATATGTCGTGGGTGAGAGAGAACAAAGCAGAAGAAGGGATAATTTGTTGGCAACTATTAGCAGACCTACAAAACAAAAGAAATCAATTTTAAAATTACCTCTATTGGAGGAGGTGGGACTCATCGATGGAAGTAGTAGGGCAGTGGGTGGAGGTGGCGCCGGCCGGCGCAGGAGCAGGAGCAAGAGCCGGGAGGAAGAACGCCGGCCAGAGCAGAGGCAGGAGAACGAAGAGTCAAGAGAGGCAGCAGGGCAAGAGAAACTTCTTCGACGGCTAGAGCTTGGTTCGTCGCTGAGTTCGCAGGCTGAAGGTTACCAAATCGCTGGTTCTTGATCGACGAGCGATGGGAAGCGATGACGGGGAGCGGCGACATGGCGATGGGTTTTGGGGAGGAGCTTTCAGAGTTCGTCTCTGGTTCCTCACGAAATGGAATTAGGGTTCAGCGAGCAAGAAAATTTTTCCTTTTTTATTTTTTAAATTTCATTTTGTAATAGCACTGAAAAAGGGGATCAATAAATTAAATGTGTATTAGGGGCAGTTGGGTGGTTGATTTGAATTTTTCAATTGCAGGGGGAAATATGAGCAGGCTAGGGGATTTTTTTTGGGCGGGACATGATTGTAATTTGGGCGGGGTATGGTCAACTTTTGGATGGGGAAAGGATTTGTGTCAGTTCAACATAAAATGTATCGGCAGGGCCGATTGGTTTCAGTCTCACATGAGGTTTCAGTCTGACACAAGCAAAAATGACGAAAATGACTTTGTCAAAAACGAAACTACTATATTATGACGAACTACCTTTTGTCAAAGTCAAAACAACTATATTATGATGAACATACCCTTTTGTCAGCTCGCCGTGAGATTATTGCTATCTATTGTGACAAAATACTTTGTCATTTAAACAATTCAGGAATGCATAATTTGGCAAACTTAATTGTGACACGAAATATTTGTCACATTACTCACTTTAAACAACAAAATATTACGACAACAAGAAATTTGTCACTGTTGAGTCTCTTACATCCCAATATGGGACGCCTATTTTGACAAAATTAATTGTGACACGAAATATTTGTCACGTTATTCACTTTAAATGATGACTTATTCTGATAATAGTAATTTTGTCACATTAGGCATACCAAATAGGACATATATTATTTTTGTCATATCATCGTACCTATTGTGACAAACAGAAAATGACAAAATAAAAAATTTGTCCTAATAGGCCGAATTTGTTGTAGTGACTATTGTTCAACTAGGGCTTTTATTTGATGACAATCTGATATAGAAATGGGCTTCTATTTTGTTGCCATTCCCATGTTGAAGATTAGTCACCTCCAGCCCAAATTGAAAGCCCACACAAAATTCAAGGGCCCTTTTCTTTAGAGGAGTAAGTTGTTTATCAACTATGCTACAAGCTTCTTATTAATTATATTATAAACCTTTTAAAATGTAAAATAATTAACTCTATACTAATTATTTATGAATAAATTCACATTTTGAAATACTTAGTAACAAATTTGTTTGCATGCATTTTTAATAACAATTTTAATTCATTCAAAAAATTTAGATTGAATGATTCTTGTCTAAATAACCTATATTTCCGTTATTATAAGCTACCAGTTTGTGAACGGGGTTTGAATGATTTCATACCAGTTAACCAATAAAATACGACTTACTCTCTACATTTGGTTCATACTATGGTTTGGTTCTAACAACATTGCATAATATTCAACTCGTAAGTTTGTTGAGTTATATATATATATTCATTAAGTGGAGAAATAAGTAAAATATCACTCAAATTTAACTAATTATATATGATAATTTGAATCCTTCATGTGAAGTTATTATCGCCATGTTGAAAGAAAAATGTTGCATGCATAGAATTAATATGTGGCCCAAAAATTTAGATACATGAAAGAAAAAATTAAGAAAACCATGTATAACTTCTAAATTTGAAAAATGTTTGTCGATCAAAGGACAGATGATCACGACTGACTTTTATTGTTTGAAAAGTGTTGGTCCTCAGACAAAGTCCAGACAATAAATAAATATTAAAAAGTAGCAACCCAACTGACTCGCTGTTACTGTCACTCTAGAAATTGGCCAAGTGTAACCACTTCCTAAAGCGTAGTATAGCGGGTTGGGTTTTAATGTCAACCCGGGTCCTAGATGTGATGACTACTCAGTGAATTCGTATTATCTAGCAATGAAACTTTAGTGAAGATCTAAACTAAAAAGCAAGCAAAGTAATTAAACGGTTGGTTTCAGGTTAAGAGAGGTCACCCGGATATGGTTCCCCCTAGTCTGCAGTTAAGCCGGATTGTAATTGCCTAGTTCGATTTCTATGAAAGTTATACTGCGGAAGGTTCTCAAACAGTCTGAAGTCTCGACTAAAGGTATTCAGACCCTCTCAATCTGAGTCTCTAGCTGGCGACTAACCTACACCGGAGTAAACAGATTGAGGCCCTATGAACAAAACCTCCACTACCGAATGGAATTCGGTACAGAATAGTGAACTGGCTTCTCGACTAAAGTCACCAATTCACTACCTTCGATTAAGGATACTCTAGATATTATCATTCTAGGTTAAAGCAGAAACAACAGGAATTTGATCAGGATTCAAGTCATTCAATCATTCAAACCTCAATCGAATATAATCAAATCATAGAATCAATACTTGGGTTCATACAATCAAACCTAACATACAGATCTAGGGTTTCCCACACCCAGATGAATGGGAGAACTACTCCATGGAGAAAGAAGCAAAAGCAGAATCAGACGCGGAAATCATACTGTGAAGATGGATTTCTGCTCCTGGACGTTGAATCGGCACTTCTCCAAGCTCAAACCAAGCTCCAATGGTGTTGAAGATCGATCTAGGGCGCTTGGAGACTCTTGTTCGTCGCTTTCTCTCTCTAGGAATAACTCTATCTCTCTAAAACTCGAATCCCCACTCTTTTGGCTGAAAATCTGCCTAAAAAGGCATCAGTGGCCAAAGCACGGTCGAGGGCACGGCCGTGCTTTGCCTCAGCCCGCCCGTGCTTTGGCTAGGGTTAATTACACGGCCATCTTGTTGGTGAAAACACGGCCGTGCTTTTGGGAAAACACGGCCGTGCTTTGTCTCGGCCCTGCCCGTGTAATCAGCTCATGTCTGCCAAACTCGGATTTTCTCTCGGCAGTAAAAGCACGGTCACAGAACACGGCCGTGTTTTGAAGGCCTTCTGCCCGTGTTTTTACTGCCGAACCTGTTCCCCTATATTCAATGCTTCGTTTCTCCCTCGTCCGGACTCCGAATCAGTCGCCGTTTGATCCCAGACGCTCGTAGTCTCGTCCTATTTCTTTTCATGACAGAGTTGCACGATTCTTTGTCCATAAAGTGAGGTAAAAATCCATTCTTCTTCAGGTCATGCCAGAGTTTCTTCTCCCGAATCGCCAATTGATCTCTGATTGACTTGAAACTTGCGCCTATGCTTCACTTTATGTGCTAGGACCTGAAATATGACAAAGGAACACAACCTAGCGTAAAATAGGCCAAAGAAGCGATAATGCAAGCTTAAACGATCAAGAAACAAAGGGGAAAAACATGTGCAAATATCGAGTCATCACCAACCCAATACAATTTTAAAAAATAACAAATTATAGAAGAAGGAAAAACAAGCAAATGAAAGGCATCGCCCATTGGGTAGGCAGGAAATAGTAGTTCGCTATGTCAATATATTTTTTCTTCTTGGATAATGAATAATTTCTACAATCTCAATAATCCATATCCAATTAATGTGAAAATTCAAGGAGACATTTTCAATTGGTCTGATATCATGAACGTAATAAGTATCATTGTTATTAAATTCGATGACGCCAGTCTCACTATTGTCATTTACAAACAAGTTCGTATGTCACAATAACAATCGTCTTGTATTCAGTTTTGTAATTTACTTATAGGAGATTGAATTGCTCAGATCACAGGTAGGGCTGCAAATGAGCCGAGCTGCTCGCGAGCGGCTCGGCGTTCGACTCGAGAAAAGCTCGTTCGAAACTCGGCTCTTTAATAAACGAGCCGAACATGAGCTAAACTTTGTTCAACTCGTGAAGTTCGCGAACTAGCTCGACTCGGGGGCTTATTGAGCTAAACTCGTGAGTTGGCTCATTTAGAGCTCATGATATGTCTCAACATGTGGCTAGAGAGCCAACTCGATTACCAACTTATGGATGAATCAATCTATATCTTATGATTTTAATTCATATGGTTGTTAAATTATCTATCTCACCATATATAAAGTTTAACACATTGAGTATGTGAGCAAATATATCTTATTTTCTACTTTAAAAAGAAATTATGTATCATAGATTGCTTCGATACTATAAAATAACATGAAATGGAGTAGTTAAAAATATTAGCTAAATGATATATGATACCAGCAAAGTATAATATGAGATTAGCTAACAAAATAATACATATGTACCATGACATACAAAATGAAGTGCTAAATAAAAGTCAAGATTTTAGTAAACAAGCTAGCTCGAACTCGACTCAACTCGGCTCGTTAATAAACGAGCTGAGCTCGACCTCGATTCGTTTATAAACGAGCTGAGCTCAATCTGAAATAAAACTCGACTCGATTCGGCTCGGCTCATTTGCCGCCTAATAACAGGAGAGTAATTTTCTAGCCAGGTCTTTTGGTGCTTCCACCTTAAATCCGGAGTAAGACTTCTAATAATTATGCATTTCCGGTACCGCCAATTGTTACATCCGGAGACCAGAGAGTTCAAACAACTACTCATGTTTTAATACCCTCAAACTGGCAAATTGGCAGGTTACCAACCAGAAAGACGGTCTACAAGGTTGATTATCAACACCCACTGACTCGCTTCCGTTTCCCTCCAGAAAATGATGATTCAATCAGATTCAGCATTTTAGAGTTTAGAAGGTAAACCAACCACCTGTCTTGCTTTTCCAACCTAAAGTCACAAAATCCTTTTACCCATTTCACCAACCAATGCGTTCAGTTACCTATAAATACACGTCGTCCAAGCACCACAAATTTCATCGAGAACTAGCAAGAAACAAAACAAGAGAATCAACAATCTAAATCCATACGCCTAATCTAAGATGGCCTCTTTCAAGCTATTCTTCGTTGCTCTCTTCCTTGCTGTGTCATTCTCCAACATGGGAATGGGGCTGGCGGCGAGGCAGCTCCTCCAAATGCCAGCTCTCCCAAATCTGCCCACGCTGCCTCCTCTGCCCAGCGCCACCGTCCCATCTCTGCCTCAGCCGACGACGACTCTGCCACAGCCTGCCTTTCCTTCCGGTGGATTGCCTCCACTTCCCAGCGCCGGATAGGGCTGGCATTTCGGTTGCCGGTTAGCGGGTAACCGTCGGTTACAACCGAAAACCGGCCGGTTACAAGCTAACCGAAAACCGACCGGTTACCTTGGCGATCGGTGGTCGGCTGGGAAAAGGAAGGAGTCGGTTGACCGAGTAACCGACGGTGATTAACCGCGGTTATCCGATTAACCGACCCCAACCGAGACCCACCTAACCATCCCAAAATCTGTCCATTTATCTCCACCTCCACTCACCTAACCTTCCCCAAAACCCTAGATCTAAAACCAAACTCTCACCCCTTCGTCCACCTCGCCGCCGCCGCACCTCTGTCCACCTCGCCGCCGCCGTCCACCTCACCTCGCCGCCGCATCACTGTCGCCGTCCACCTCGCCTCTGCCGCCGTCCCTGCACCTCGCCCTCCGCCTACTTCCCATCGCGATAAGCGCTGCGCCGCGCCGTACCTCTGCATCTCCACTCTCCGACCACGGCGACGACCCCAGCCCTCCGCTACGCCGTTCGTGTGCGCTCTCCCCTGCTTCTCTTCCTCAAATCGCCAACCGCGTCGGCTCGACGTCCGCCTCCAACTCCCCTTATTCCGAGTTACAAAAAAAAAAATCAGAAGGTGAAGAAGAGAGAATTGTTATGGTGGCGAAGAGAGAAGTGTTGGTGTGGTTTGGCGATGGCAGAAGGTGAAGAAGAAAAAAGTGTTGTGGTGGTTTGGCGATGGCAGAAGGTGAAGAAGAAAAAAGTGTTGTGGTGGCTTGGTCCTTTTTTTGGACGAAAATGGTGGCCTGATCTGGTGGGGGATTGAATGGAGAGAGGAAGGAGAGAGGAGGAAGGTGATAAGGTTTGAGTGGTGGGGGTTTTTTGTGTTTTTTTTTAAATAATTTTAATGATTTTTTTTGGTGAGAAGAGAGTGCTTTTTCGGGCGGGCGGCTAACCGAGTCAAAACCGATAACCGACCGGTCGGTGGTCGGCTAGCCGTAATGTCTCTCACGGTCGGTGGTCGGCAACAGAGAGGGGTGGTTCGGTTTAACCGATAACCGAGAATTCGGTTTTCGGTTAAACCGAAACCGACCGACTGACAGCCCTAGCGCCGGAGCCATGCCTACCATTACGGCGATTCCAGCTTCCATCCCAAAGGTCTCTCTGCCGCCGTTGCCAAGCAATCTCCCATCGATCCCGGCTATTCCGCCCACCATTCCTTCCATCCCCAGCCTCACCCCGTCTCCTACCGGCAATTAAATCAACTTGTCTTGTAGCTGTAGCTACATGATAATACACAGAGTTTGCACTTGGGTTGCAATTTATATTTTTTTTTTTTTGTGTGTTTCTTATTTTGTTTGAACTCGTGTTCCTCAGTTCCTGTATGTCACGATTTGTGCTACATATATTGTTGTCACTGAGATTACACAATAATAAAAAAAAAAGGTTAATTGCATGGTTGTCACTGATATTACAAAAAACATTCAAGTTTGGTCACTCGAAATATTTAAATTCATTGGTGGTACTTCAGTTTATTGAAACCGTTCACGTTTGGTCACTCTCCGTCCAACTCCGTTAACTTTGGCTGATGTGGCAGTCAACTCTCAAAGTTGACCGTTAACTTAGTGACGTGACAACTAAAAAATTATTAAAAAATAAAAAAATAAACTTTTATATTTTCCACCTCATTATTACATTCATTAAAAAATAAAAAACCTATTTTCTTTTGTACAAACCCCATACTCTACCCGACTCAACCTCAACGCCGCCGCGGAATCTGATCACCGCAGCAACACTCCCCACCACCATCACGGATCCGGTAAGCGGCTCGATCGTAAGCCAGTGCGGCTCCCTTGGGAACGTTGTAGGTGCCGAGCCACAACCTGGCGTCCTTCTTGGTGGGGTCCCTTATCTCCGCCGCGTATTTCCCCCACGGGCTTCTCCTCACCCCTCTGTATAGCATCTTCTTCTGCAACGACGCCGTTTTGTGGTGGTCGTTGTTGATGCTTCTGCTAGTCGTAGTCTCAAATAACGACGAAACTGAAACGACAACCGGTTGCTCCTCCTCCGTCTCTCTCTGACTCCTGGGAAGCTCCATGTTTTTCCACACATGTTATGCATTTGTTCCAGAGGAGGGGTTTATTATATCTTTGTGTTGATGCAAATGGGTGGTGGTGGTGGGGAGTGTTGCTACGTGATCGGATTCCGCGGAGGCGGTGGAGGTTGGGTCGGGTAGGGTATGGGGTTTGTAGAAAAGAAATTAGGTTTTTTTTATTTTTTTTTTATTTTTTAATGAATGTAATAATGAGGTGGAAAATATAAAAGTTTATTTATTTATTTTTTAATAATTTTTTAGTTGCCACGTCACTAAGTTAACGGTCAACTTTGAGAGTTGACTGCCACATCAGCCAAAGTTAACGGAGTTGGACGGAGAGTGACCAAACGTGAACGGTTTCAATAAACTGAAGTACTACCAATGGATTTAAATATTTCGAGTGACCAAATTTGAATGTTTTTTGTAATCTCAGTGACCAACCATGCAATTAACCCCTTTTTTTATTACTGTGGAGCACGTTTGTACTTTCCATCTACTTGTTAAATTTGTAGGCTTATAAAATAGGAATTTTACAATGCTATAAGTTTCTTTATGGTTCAATTTGAAATTATACCTGTAACGTTATGGTACAACTTCATATCGTACCTATACTTTTTGTACAAATTCTTTTATGGTACAACTTAAACTTGTACCTTATGTGATGGAACAACTTCAAGTTGTAAAGTTGTACCATAACATAATGATACAAATTCTTTTATGGTACAACCGAAATTTATACATTTTAATTTTTAAAAAAAACTTATACATTGAATATTATGATACAATTTTAAATTGTACATTAAAACACCAATACTATATAGCAGTGTAGAAATGCTTAAAAAAATTAGTAACATCATCCGTTGGACTTGAGGGGAAGAGAAAACTAACATATCAAACTAACCAGTGCTAATGTGCCAAAAAGAATTACTCAAAAGGGAGGAGGACACAGGGCAGAGCACTGGCCTTGCCTTTCAGTTCCTCCCGTCTATCTATCGCCATTGCCATCTGTCTTCCCACCGACCAACACTATCCTCCCCCGCTGCATATCGACAAATATGGCCGACAATCCCACACACTAAAAAGGAACCACAAAACCTCCCCTCCCCTGCTCTCACTCTCACTCTCACACCCCATTTTAGTGCAAAAATCAAAACAATGTCCCAATCCATTCCACCGGAACTCATCGCCGACATCCTCTGCCGGCTCCCCACGCTCACCCTCGCCAGGTCCCGGTGCGTCTCCAAACAATGGCGCGAAATCATCGACGACCTCCACTTCACCAAACGACATTTACAGCATTCCATCCACACAAACTCCAACCGCCGCCTTTTCATCCAAATCGACCATTTCGCCGGTCTCAAACGCTTGAAATGCTGCCGTCCGGGAGCTCCTTTCCGATTCTTCGACGATCCGAATTTCGGTGGGGAAACCAATAACACCCACCTGTTTATGGGCTCCTGCCACGGTCTGCTCTGTTTTCACCTAACCAACACCCTCGCTGACTTCCTCCTGGTCAACCCATCCACGAGTCAACGCCACTACTACTACTATGTCAATAACTATCTCCACAATTTCTCTCTCTGGGCCGGGGCCCAATTGGCCGGTCGTGGATTCGGGTACGACCCGATTACCCACGACTATAAGGCGGTGCGAATCAGGTCGTTCAATGATCAGTCGGAACCGCAGGCCGAGATTTACAGCTTGGGGGCGAGATCTCGCAAGGTGGTAAACATGCCGTACCTTCCGTTTGGTCCTCACCGGATGGGCGTCTCCGCCGGCGGCGGGTTGCATTGGATCGGCGGAAGGTGCGGTGATTTATTCGGGCCGCGGGTAATCGTGTCTCTGGATCTCGGGTCCGACGAGTTTTACGAATTGCCGCAGCCGGAATTCGGCGATCGGCCTTTTATTCTGACGATCGGAGCTTTAGGTTCCGGCGGGTTGTGCGTCTGCGCGGCGTATGAAGATGCCGAACGACTCGACGTTTGGGCGATGGAAGAGCCCGGGAAGAAGGGGAAAGGACGGTGTTGGAATCGGCTGTACTCGATTCGAGATTCTGCAGTGGGCCGTCGATGGGCTTTGGCTTTGGGCTTTTGGGAGGGCCGAATGCTGTTCTTGTTGGACCGTAGTGGCTTTGCGTGGTATGATCCATCGAAGGAACGGGTCGATGTCGTTGAGGTTGATGGGCCGCCAGAAGATGTTTACTTTGATGCGGTTTATTGTTTGGAGAGTTTGGTTAAACCTTTTGTTTGGAAGGTTGAGGGAAAGAAGCAGGCAAAACAACAGAATGAGAAGAAGACAACATGGAGGAAAAAAGAGGTGTTCTTGATGGTAACATCTGCTAGTAAGAACAATCGATGATCCCCTATTTCCCTGCTGGTTTAAATAGATTTTACACTGTTCAATTGTGGACTGTGCAATCAATGTAACAGCATTTTTTTGTTTATCAGTGTATAATTTCTCTTGAATCTCTTTTAGCTCTATATGTGCGTTGGTTTTGTACCTCCAATACTCTCATATAGAGTAGAGCACGGGAAGATGGATAAACCTGTAATCCTCCTTCTTCTTCTTCCCGTCCTCCGCAGCATAGCTCCAGCAATCGCTTCTGCAGACAGCCCAACTCCAATTCGACCCGCTGAAGCTCTTTCAACAGACGCTGAATCTTACTCTTCACTTCCACATGTTCCTTCCTCGCTTGTTCTGATTCTCCTTGTATCGCCTGAAAGACCCAGAAAACGAAATGATGAGAAAGATGGAAACATGGAGATAAATAATTACAGCTTTGATCTTCTCAGGGCAGGGGACAGACAGAGCAATCCTCACTTGGATTTGACTTCGAATCTCGTTCTTGCCCTTTACTACAGTATTAAGTTCTTCAAATGATCCCCATGAACAACTAGCAGTAGCAGAACCGTGTTTCCGGCATTCCTTGGTCTCTCTCGAGAGTCTTCTCTCTGCAGCCAAGCTCTTCCTTCCATGTTGCATTCGGAAATTCAGCAGCTGTTTTTTCTGTTTTTGTGTGGATCAAAAACAAATAATGTTACAAAAAAGGCTCTGCCTTTCTTTGGAACAATGTTGAGAAAAAAGGATTATGGGGATCAATTACATTGATGTTCATAGATTGTGTTGCAACTTACATTGTAATGGGTTTCTTCTTCCATTGTGGTTGATCTAATGCTTCTTCTATCTTGGTAAGCCCGATTCGCGAAACTCAGCTTGTCTAGAGATTGCTGCAGTAGATCCAACCTTTTCTTCCTGTCGATGACACCAAATCTGAACCCCCTATCACTCTCCTTCAAGCCTTCCAGCTTCCAGCGGATGCTGTCTCGGTCCTTCTGTCAAAGGCAGAAGAAGGGAAGAGGAAACCAGAAGTGCATTAGGTTGTGCATGGAGAAGGTAAACAAGGTGACAGCAGACTAGCATGGGGAAGCTTCAATTGGAGGATCTCTGACCAAGATTTGCTCCAGTTTATCTCGAATGGAAAGCATTTTGATTTCGATTCTCTTTTCCCGCTGGCTTGCTTGATTTGCAGGTTGGCAGAGCTTGGATGTGTCAGCCTCCTTCTCAGCCATTATTGGACTCATATCAAAGCTGCTGGTTTGCAATTTCAAGGATACCCACAAAGCTTTGTGAATTGGATGATCTTCCCCCTCTTCATTTCGGATTATATAATGAGTGATTGATTACTTGCTGCGCACAGCACGTCTTGTGTCCATTCAGCAACTGCAAATGGTTTGACTTGCTTTTATCAATTGATATTTTCAATGATTTAACTTGTAGTGATACCATTATAAAGTAGGGGAGGGAGATTATTTTAGAACATAAATTTTTGTTTCTATGTAAATCATGGTGACAATCTCAACTTAGTCAACGAGGGAAATCTCAGTGTTACAAAGAAAATGGTGGGATGGATTTGGGTATCTCTGCCCATCCTCAAACCAATACTTGCCCTGCAAGTAATGCATATACTACCCACATCCAATTACATGATGTTTTTCTTTTCCATTTTCACTAAAATTTAAAATTAATATAACCCCAAACATCTTTATTTAACTTTTTCTATTTCATCGATACATATATATATATACAACCTTTTAAGTTTTTTTTTTTAAGTTTCAACCAACAACCTTTTAAGTTTCAACCCTTATTTCCCCTAAGAATTTTAAATTTTGTTATATTTCTCATACTTTTGTGGTTAGTTTATGATATATAATGTTTGTTTAAAAGTCTCTAAATATGGTATGTGCCTTCAAGTTGATTACATTAGTTATAAGTTGAATTTGGTTCGTATTTGTGGGGCGGAAATTTTACGAGTATTCAAAAATCGCGATAATTAGGAGAAAAAACTTCCACTCATGCAAAGATAGGGTGGACATGGGTTTACGAATTGAAAATGGCGATGAGGATAGATTTTGAAAAATTCAAGGTTTGTCCAAACCCTACCTTGCAGAGTTGCTAGCTGCTAGAGATGTCATTTCACTTGACCAAGAAGTGTGCCTAGTCACTTACCGTGGAAGGTGATTTTGAAGTTGTGATCCAACAACTTAGCCAAGGGTTGGTGGTGGATTCGCATTTTGGGTCCGTGCTTCGAGATTGTCGTCAGCTACTTGAGTCGGGTCCTTTTGTATAGCTTTGAGTAAAGTTACGCGGACTGTCAGCTGGACTACCCATAGAGTGGCAGCTAAAACTCTGTTGTTGCTCTCTTTCAAGTTCGCTTCCTTTAACTTTGTTGAGTGACTTCATTAGAGTGTTGCCCAAAGCAGGTTATGGGTAGAGGTTTCTTTTAATCTTTTCTCCCTTTTAATTACTTGGGAAAGGATAAAAAAACATGACCTGGCTAACATTCTCACTCAACTTGGACAAATGAGCTCCCTTCACTTAATTTGTCAAAAAAAATTATTAAGAGAAGCTCTTGATAAAGCTGAACAGGAATCCGCACTGTTACAACCACTTTAAGATGTTGATTCATTTCTATCAATATACAAATTCAGTAGTCACATAACTGTTGAGTGATAATATATGGCCTAAAGCCTTGTTGTATTGAGGGCTCGGCCCATTAGGTCAGAGGAGGCTCGGCTAGGGTTAGAGAGAATGCCAAATGTATATATATGCCATGTACAGGAAACGTTGAACAACAAGTGAAATACAAGTGAACGGCTATTTGCCGCCAACCAAATTGCTATTTGCCGCCAACCAAAAAAAAAAAAAAAAAAAAAAAAATTTGAATTCAAATTTTGAATTCTCCCCTTCCTTCCCTTCCTATAAATTTGAATACCATAACATTACCTCATTCCAACAAAACACTTTTGTCGACGAGCCCAGTGCCTCCGTCGCCGGCACAGTTCCTCCGTCGCCGGCCAACTTCCCGTCGTCATCAATCGTCGGAAACAAGTAAGTTTACTTTTTCCGACAATTTTTTCTGTTTTTCCGGCGATTTTTCCAGTTTTCCGGCGAAAAACACGGTGGACCGAAAGAATTTGGCGGCCGGAACGTGGCCGGGCCGAAAAAAAATTTCGGCCGGCGCGACGCCCAGCCGAAAAATTCTTTCGGCCCGGCGACGTTCCGGCCGCAAATTTTTTTCGGCCGGTCGCCGAAAGCGCCGCCGAAAAGTTTTCCGGCGGCGCGTTCGGCGACCGGCCGAAAAAAATTTGCGGCCGGGACGTGGCCGAGCCGAAATATTTTTTCGGCTGAGCGTCGCGCCGGCCAAAAAAATGTTTCGGCCCGGCCACGTCCCGGCCGCAAAAATATTTCGGCCCGGCCACAGAATCTTTTCGGCCCGGCGACGCGCCGGCCGCAATTTTTTTTCGGCCCGGCGGCGCGCCGGCCGCTATTTTTTTTCGGCCCGGCATATTTTTTTAATTTAATTTAATTTAATATGTTAATTAATTAGTCAATAAAAGTTACTTAATTAGTTAATTTCGATTAACTACTTAATTAAATGTTTTTTTAATTACTTAGATTAGTTAATAGAAAATTAAATAATTAAGAATTGGTTTAACAATTAATGTTAATAGTACATTAGTTAATAGACTTGCAGTTAATTAGTGATTAATTAACAATTAATGTTAATAGTACATTAGTTAATAGAAATTTAATTAATTAGTGCGCATCTATGTATGATATTGATTAATTAACAATTAATTAGTTAATCGAAATTTAATTAATTAGTGCGCATCTAAGTATGATATTGTGTAAATTTGTAGATAATTAGATATGGATGATGCGGGTGGGAGTGAGTTGGGTAGATTCAATGGTAGGGTTGTTGATGCATCAACACGAAGGAAGGTGCCTCAGAAGAATAAGGAGAAGAAGCGCACTCGAGATATTGGACATCAGTCAGAGGCTCCTACTATAGTTGCTCGTTCGTCATCACGGGCGTCTGGTTCCCATGGGGGGAACCAGGGTGCTGCATCGAGAGTGGTCTCTGCTGAGTTTGATGAGGACGATAGAGATGAGGACGATAATGATGAGGATGTCGATGTCCCTCCACCTACGCATGGACATGGACGAGTGCAGGATCGTACGGCAACATCACGTCCTGCTATGTATAGGGACCGAGCTGGGCGATTCGTACCACCTGCTCGTCAGGAGACAGAGAGCTCGGGGACTGGACGGAGTAGGGGAGGACGTTCGAGTGGTCCTCCACCGTGGGAGCTTGTTGGTGAGTGTCCTGGTGGACCTACGGATCCTAGCCTCATTAGGAGCTTCCGTGGCCACGCTTCCTACGCACTTTGGACGGGGCTTGGAGATCGAGGGGTCATCAGTTGCTACACCCGTACAGGGGCGGTTGACTATCTTGGGAACTACGTGTTTAGTCATGTTGAGGCGGAGGATCTGGTTCAGCAGTCAGGTCTCCAGCACCTGATCTACTCTATGTTCCGCAGGATAGCGATTGACGAGGCTTTGATCTCAGCTTTTGTGGAGAGGTGGCAGCCAGACACGAACACTTTCCACTTGCCTTTTGGAGAGATGACGATCCTCCTCCACGATGTTCAGTACTTACTGCAGATTCCTGTTGAGGGACGACTGATGAGTAGGACTTCTGAGCAGCTTGACCATCCGGAGGTGGGTTTGTGTGCGCTTCTTGGGATGAACTCGGAGCAGTTGAGTGGTCGTTCGGAGGTCCCTGGATTTGGTAGTAAGGGTAAGTGGTACGACAAGGGTGGTTTTCTTGCGGACATGGCGTCCAGGTACTTGCAGGTGAACGGGACACATGTGACAGAGGCGCAGTCGTACTTGTTGTTGATGTTGGGGTCCACTTTGTTTGTGGACAAGAGTAGAGACAGGGTTCGGCCGGTGGTGAACCTATTTTTGGACGAGTTGGAGGAGATAGATCAGTACAGTTGGGCGTCCGGTACACTTGCTTGGTTGTACAGATGCCTTGGTCAGGCGTCTCGTGCTGGTGCTAGGGGGGTGGCTGGTTGTCTCACACTTCTGCAGTGTTGGATCTACGAGTACTTTCCGGGTTTCAGGCCATCTCACTTTGAGCCACCTGTCGTTGGACCTGATGAGGCTTGGGCTTCACGATGGATTGGGCAGCCGGCGACTGGTTCTGTGGCTGATCCCAGTGTGAGGTTGGCGTTCTACCGTCGAGCTCTTGACAGCTTGACCCCTGCTGATGTGTTTTGGACACCTTTCCATCAGAGGCCTCATCTTGAGGTGCGTCGCTCTTTGTACACTGGAGTGATTCGGTTAGCTGATATAGGCGAGTTCTATGATCCAGCTCGTTGCCTCCGACAGTTTGGATACCGACAGATGATACCGCCTCCCCCTTCGCGTCCTCAGCGAGCAGACCGACCAGAGGCACCTGGTGGATATGTCATTCGGATTCCTGAGAGTTTTGATGCTGCATGGGATGCTCTGCTATCCCACATGGTTCATATAGACATGTACTCTCAGCCCTGGAGGACGTATCCATATGAGACTACGGCCGACTATCTTGACTGGTTCGTGGCACACTCTCATTGTAGAGTCCTACGGGATGATGGAGATGCAGATCGACTAGTTGACTCCGCAGCGGTAAGATTTGACCACTAGACCGTTACTCTATTATAAATATACTTAGCGTGAAACTAACAATTGTTATTGTTTTTTTTTTGTGCAGCGTGCTCGAGACCTTTTGTACACGTTTGCACCTGCAGTTCGAGCAGCAGCAGGGACCGAGGATGAGTTTCTTGAGCATTCTCGACGAGCCTACAGGGCACTGCACGGAGTGCAGGATGTGTGGACTGAGTACTGGGCCTCCCAGGGACTCCCCCCTCCAGGGGATTTTTAGTTGTTTTGATGTTTAGATCGGATGTTTATGTTTAGACTGCATGTTTGCATATTTATGTATGTTTGGATCAGATGTTTATGTTTGACTACTTATGTTTGGATCGGATGTTTGACTACTTATGTTTGACTACTTATGTTTGGATCAGATGTTTATGTTTGACTACTTATGTTTGGATATGATGTTTGCACACTCATGATTAAAACATCGAGGGTAGATAATGAAATCCATAAGTTCATGATGATAATGAAATCCATAATGAAATCCATAAGTTCATGATGACACTAGAGCCATTTAAAATACAACTAGAAAAACAACAACATATAAATAGAGCATCGCAACACTATGCATTGCTCCTACCCCTACCCCTTCCCCTAGCTCTTCGGGGGTCTCTCTGCCTGGCTCGCTGCCGACCACCAAGACTCGCATACAAATTTTGTCCACCCTCGAGAATAGCTTCCCATCCCGCCACGTTAGGACTTCTTATCCCATGCCAAAGTGGATGCAGAGGGGGTATGGGAAACTGATCCTGGTTGAAGTACAATCGAATGTAGTGGTTGTTCACATAGTGCAGTGATAAGAACATGGTTGGTGGCAAAGTACCTTGGTCCGCATCAATAGGCAATACCACATAGGCATCATCGTAGCGGTTGGGTAGTGGACGGTTTCCATTATTGACATCAAACATCTGGTATGTGAAGACCATGACTGCGATGTTGTAGATGGTGGCAAACACGAACAAGTCCTCAGAATCCATCCATCGCCCCATTGGTGCGGAACCCGCCTCGAGCCAATTGATGCGGTCAATGTGAGCTAGTGGACCACCATGATACAAGTTCTCGTACTTCCAGAAATGTTGTTGGATTTCTTGGACAATCGCCGATCTCATGAGCAGATAGTGACTATCATCCCCATAAATACAATGAGAAAGTGCCCTAAAACCACAATGGCCGTCTGGACTAGGGTTGAAATCGCCTACCAGCAAAGGTCGAACAAACTCTGGAAAAAGCTCATCGATGTAAGGGTAAGAATATTGCCCTGGGGGGCTCTGGGATGAGTAATCTACAAAAAATATACCAAACAGTCAAAATTACTTGGACAAAATTTACAAACATAAACCAATTACTACTAGATGGACTACAATATTTAACCAATTACTCACCTGTATCATGCTCGTCGGATTCACCTCCACTCGATCGGGATCTACCTCCACTCGATCTGGATCTGCCTCCACTCGATCGGGATCTGCCTCCACTCGATCGGGATCTACCTCCACTCGATCGCCCCCTGCCTCCACTCGATCCAGGCCCAGTACTCCTCGAACGAGACCGCTCATAATATGAACGAATGCGACTGGTGCTTGTTCGAGGCCGTCCTCTCGGATTCTCATTCACTTCCGGTTCCCTCACATTGTCCTCTGCTGGGTGAAGCCCATAGAATAGGGCATCTCTTGCTTGTCTCACTGCTTCAGGACCTCTTTCTTCCACCTCAACAGTAAGACGCCTAAAGTGTTCTCGTTGAAGCTCAATTTCATCATTGACTTGTTGTTGACGTGGGGGGTTTTTATAATCCAAAGTCCGCCAAAATACATGCAACTCTTGAGCATAGAATTGACGTCCTTCTTCCTTAGCTTGAACAACCTGGCAAGCACACTTGAGCCCATGTGTCATCTGAAAATGACACGCACAACGGTCCTTCAACTCCGCCGCCCCATCTAACATCAGTTTGATCGCCTCACAACTAACGACCCTCCTCAAAAACGTGCACGGAGGCTCAATTGCCCTACTCAGATTGCGGTTAAGTGACTTGTGCAGCTCATTCACCACTTCTAGAAACTGATGTTCCATGTAGTTGTGGTTCTTCGCAAAACAAGTGTCAATCGCTCCTCTACCAGACACAAGGAAACTCTTGAATGAAGAGTGAGATGACTCAACTCTATTCGAGCTCGTGTTACCAAGATGAAACACATGGTTCGTGTAGCACTTTGCCCACATTGTCTGACAAGGCAACCACTCACCTCGCACGTAGTCAACCATTTTTATGTTCTTCTGTGTCCAGACCCTCTCAAACTGATTAATCTTTTGAAGAAAACCCTCCTGAGTCCAACTCCATGCAGCTTTGTCGAAATATTTCTTCCATACCGCTTCTGCTACCTCTCTTCTTGAAATTCCACCCAGTAATTGCTCAAACTTTTGCTTCACACAGTTGTTGACGTGCCATAAACATAGTAGGTGGACAGTATGTGGGAGAGGGAAGACCAGGGGCATAGAAGCAAGCAGACCACCTTCTTTGTCTGTCACAATGACATTCGGAACCGTATCACCGAGCAACCCTTTAATACATCGCAGCACCCACTCATATGTTTCCTTTGTTTCCTGCTTAATAAGTGCACATGCAATGTTGAAATTCTTCTTGACTGGAGTAACCCCAATAATCTCAACCCATGGCCAGCCATACCTATTCGTCTTGTAGGTCGAGTCAATGATGATGACGTACGGCCATGCATGCAACATCTGAATGGACGTCGGGTGCGCAAAAAACAGATTAGTGAGCACATTATTAGAGTCCTTTTGCAAACAGATATGGTACCCACGTTGTTCAGCTCCATGAAGCGCAAACTGTATCGCATCCATTTCACCCATCTCATCCAATCTGTTCTTGTAATTTCTGTTGTACATCTGTTTGATATCATGACTCACACCCCCTTCAGTATTGAGTGTCGTCTTCTGCTGATTTGGTCTCACCCCCGCCTTCCTCATTAATCTTAACCTCTCTTTTTCAGCCTCACTAAACTGTTTGTTGTGTCGGTGATGTTCTGGATACAACACCTTTTCATGGTTGTGAAACCCTCTATTAGCTCCGGTTGCACGACTTGTCACTCCCACTAGGACCCATGTGTTTGGACGATCCTTTTGCCATACTTCCTTAATACATATCTGAAACTGGCAACCAGTACCCTTCGAACTAGTATTCCCACGCGTCTCCTTCGTAGGGTCTGGTTTATAAGATTTAACGATCCTACTGCTTCTGTCGCAATACATACAGAGGGCAGTAAGTCCAGAAGTATTCGGTTTCCATGCTCCTCTAACAATAAAGAACCCGTTCTCCTGAGCGATTGCTATTGCAGCTAACTCAGCTAACTCCACACTTGCATAATGGATCCCATTCTCAAATTCTGCTGTGTAATCATGATCGGCCGGTAACCACTCTGACATTTTTCCTACAATTACAATATAACACATCAATATTCTTGTGAACCTAAACGCTAATTTCAACTCTTAACCGCTAAATTCAACTCCTAAACGCTAAATTCAACTCCTAAACTCTAAATTCAACTCCTAAACTCTAAATTCAACTCCTAAAATCTAAATTCAACTCCTAAAATCGATTTTTTCCGACGATTTTTAACGAACAGGGTGGGCCGAAATTTTCCGGCGGCCGGAACCTGGCCGGGCCGAAAACTTCCGGCGGCCGGAACCTGGCCGGGCCGAAAATTTTCGGCGGCCGGAACCTGGCCGGGCCGAAGGAAAAAGGTGGCCGGAGCCTGGCCGGGCCGAAAATATTTTTCGGCTCGGCCAGGCTCCGGCCACCTTTTTCCGTCGGCCCGGCCAGGTTCCGGCCGCCGAAAATTTTCGGCCCGGCCAGGTTCCGGCCGCCGGAAAATTTCGGCCCACCCTCTGTTCGTTAAAAATCGTCGGAAAAATTGTTCGAAACTAAAAAAAAGTTGACGCACCTGCTTAGTGATGATTCATGGATGCGTGACCGCAGTTTACGTCGAGGATGGGCTTTCCCGATGGTTTTCCGGCGACTTTTCCGGTGAGCGTCGATTTTTTCTGATTCAATACGTTTTCTGAAACTTGAAAATGTTGTAGATTGTGAAAAAACTTAACCAAAGATGTACATATATACTTTCTTCTTTTTTTTTTTTTTTTTTTTTTTTTTTTTAGTTGGCGGCAAATAGCAATTTGTTTGGCGGCAAATAGCAAGCCCCAAATACAAAGCTACGACCCTCCCGTGGACTAGTCTTGTTCGATCTCTATCGAACAAGGAAACCACGTAAATCTCGTCTCGTCTCGTTCTAAGTTCTCTTGATTAACTCTACGCAGCTTTATCAACTTGACGTCAAGAACGCTTTCTTGCATGGGGAGCTCAAGGAGACAGTTTATATGGAACGTCCTCCTGGATATGATGTTGGCCCGCCTGATTCGGTCTGTCTTCTGCAACTGTCTCTCTATGGGTTAAAACAGGCTCCTCGGGCCTGGTTTGACAAATTCCAGTCTACTATTCTGAGTTTGGGGTTTGTTCAGAGCTCCAACGATCATTCTCTCTTCACTCGTCAGACATCTCGTGGCCTGGTGGTTCTGCTGTTATATGTCGATGATATGATTGTTACCGGTGATGATGCCGAGGGCATTGCTGCTCTCACGGAGGGACTTCATAAATCATTTAACCTCAAGGAACTCGGCTCACTCTCATACTATCTGGGTCTTGAGGTAACACGTTCTGCATCTGGCATTTTGCTTAGTCAACGGAAATACATTGATGATCTATTAGAGGCTACTCGACATAGTGATTGTATTCCTGTTGCTACACCCATTGAGCTAAACCTGAAGCTGGGGAGGGACTCCGGTGAACTCTTGCGTGACGGTGGGAAACAGTATCGAAGCATAGTAGGCAGCCTCATCTATCTTGCTTCTACGCGCCCAGACATCGCCTACGCCGTACAGATTGTTAGTCAATTCATGTCTGCTCCTTGTACGGACCACCTTGCAGCTGTTCACAGGATATTGCGGTATTTACAGGGTACCAGGGATGTTGGTCTTCATCTTCCATCTCAGGGCTCTCTTGTTTTACAGGCATTCTCCGACTCTGACTATGCTGGCTGCATCGATACGCGGCGCTCCACTACTGGTTGGTGCATTCGCCTCGGTTCGTCAGTTATATCTTGGCGGTGTAAGAAGCAGGACCGCGTCTCCAAATCGTCTACTGAAGCCGAGTATAGAGCCATGTCCGACGTCACATCTGAACTCGAGTGGTTGAATCGCCTATTGGGCGATCTTGGTGTTAAGTGTGCTTCTCCGATGGAACTCTACGTCGACAACACCAGTGCCATCCGCATTGCTACTAATCCCGTCCTTCATGATCGCACGGAGCATATCGAGGTACACATTCATTACGTCCGTGATCTCGTTCGTGATGGAACTCTTCGTATCTTCTACATTTCCTCCGAAGACCAAATCGCCGACCTCTTTACCAAAGCATTTACAGTCACTCGACACTCCTTCTTGGCTGACAAATTGATGACGAGGACTCCCCATCAATTTGGGGGAGGGTGTTGAGTGATAATATATGGCCTAAAGCCTTGTTGTATTGAGGGCTCGGCCCATTAGGTCAGAGGAGGCTGGGCTAGGGTTAGAGAGAATGCCAAATGTATATATATGCCATGTACAGGAAACGTTGAACAACAAGTGAAATACAAAGCTACGACCCCCCGTGGACTAGTCTTGTTCGATCTGTATCGAACAAGGAAACCACGTAAATCCCGTCTCGTCTCGTTCTAAATTCTCTTGATTAACTCTACGTAACGATCAACAATAACTACTCATGTTACCTTTGTTTGTACTTCTTATAATGGTCAAGCAAATAAATTTTCTCCGAATCAGACCCTCTACAATATCTTTCAGCCTCCTCAAGTAGTAATGTTGTAGGGCAATGAAAGATAATGATCTAACATCCATAATTTTTTTGTTTTCTTTCGGTAGCTCACGATGAAATAATCCTTGACGAAACCAAGTAAACCATGCTGTATTTGGTTTGGTGGTGCTCCAGACCAAAAACAGAACCATACACTTGTTACAAGTTACTGTTGGACTTCATTCTTTTGCTGTTCTCTCAGATCAAGGATGTGCAGATGTACTTCTTGCTTTCTTCTCCGGAGATCGTTCAGCTGATTGTGTAATGAGCAATCCCCTTCCTGCAAATGTTCTAATCTTTCTTTACCACGTCTAATCCCAACCTGCACTCTCCAGTGTTCCAACCTTGACTCCTCTGCTTCCTTATGTTTGGCCTTAAAATAACAGAAGGAAGATATACAAGTTTCACATCAGAGATGAGCGAATGAGGTACTTGTTAAGCACAAAATTGATTACAGCTCATCTCTACCCAGGCTTCACTCACACCAATTTGTTCTTGAATGGCGTTTCTCCAACCCAAAGATCTCCATATCTTCTCCCCTGCAACACAGTTGGCAATAACTTTCTCCTTCTCCATTTCAAGTTGTTTCAGCTGTCTGAGAAGCTCTTCCTTACCATTGACGTTACTGTAGCACCTCACCCTGTACTGTATTCCTCTGATCTGCAACACAAACTGCATCAGCTTTCTTACAGAAGCACTATTTTGCATTTTCCTAATTTGCTCAGAACTTGTAATCAGGCTTACTTTGGAGTGAATATCTTCCAGCGAGGACATGGAACCGTGAGACTCCTCTCCCTCCTTGGTTTTGATTTCCCTCACCACTCGTCTCTCTGCCTGGATGCTTTTCTTTCCATGCATCATTTTGAAGTTCATCCTCTGTAGCACAAACATTATTTATGACTACATTTCTACAAGCAGCCATCAACAACAGCATGTTAAATTGTTAATTACCCGGTAATCGATTTCTTCCTCTCCTAAGAACGAATGCTTTGTGACATTGTCTCGGTATGCGTTGTTTGCAAAGCTCAGCTTGTCCAGGGCAAGATGGAGATGGTCCAGCATCTCCTTTCTCCAGGCAACACCATATCTGAACGATTCATTGCAGCTCTTCAGGACGTTGAGGGCCGACCTTTTGGAGGCTATTTCGTCCTGGTAAAACCGCGAAACAGGTTTGATCAGTACTGGAATCCCAACAGTACTAGGCTATGTGGGTTTCAAGAAAGTTACTTGTTGATACCTCCTTATTGGCTATTCTCTTATGAATCTCCTGGATTTTTCGGTTTGTCGTCTTCATCTGTTGCTCTGCTTCTTGTAAACTGCATCTTAAAGAGTGTGGATCTCGGGGAGCTTCTGCTGTGAACTCCATTACCACAGTGGCTGTTGATGGTTGCTGGTTAAAGGAATATGGCAGCGAGGGGTTTTGGTGGCTTATTTAGACCAAGCAGAAAGAGTTGACAACATCCAACGCCATTGACAACCTCGCATGCTTGCCTTCCACGCCAAGGAAATGCCTTCACTTCAGAAATGGTCAAAGACTCAACTAATCTCGTTTACTTCTTCAACTAAAATATTTAACAAGTGACATCTAAAAAAAAAGGGGTAGTTTGTCTGGTTGATTATTAAAAGTGATGGGTTGTTAAGAATATATAGCTTTTGGGATAGATAATACTGGTTGTAGTAGATGGATAACTGAAATGAGTAACTTGCCCTTATTTCTCATTTTTATTATTTCAGTAATCAGTTGTGATGAATGAAAAAGAGTATGCAACTGCAACTTCTCTGATGTTCTCTAAAATGGTAATTTCAATTTAATTAGCTAGGAAATTAAGGGAAAGCAAATGAGTGGCAAAAGCCATAGTTCCCTCGTTAGAAATGAGAAGAAACAGCACTTACATCGCCTGGGAAATCTGGGGTAGAAGAACATCAAACAAATTCCAAAGCAACAATAAGAAGCATCTTGCAACATTGCTCCTATGAGAACAATCGTGTATCGCTTTCAGAAACCCAGTCGATCAAATGACACACTTACAACCATACTTCATCAATACAAAGAAAAACAACAGTTGATCGCTTGTTTTCATAGGTCGACCGAATTTAAGGAAACATATATATCTCAACCGACTGATTTGCTATGTATGATGACATATTAAGGCTGATCGGAGAACCAAACAATCCCCTGTTCATTGAATAGGTCGATCTCTTAGTTTTCCGGTGGACCGAATTGATGACAAGATGCACACCCCAGTAGGGGTTTGCTATAACGGTTTTTAGAGTGATGAAGTAATAACGTAGATCGTTATTTAATGAAACTTATATTGATATTAACTTGAGTTAAATGGTAGCAGAGTCCTTGTTTAATACTGAATCATTTCTAGTGGCGGAATCTTGTTCCAATGCAGATAAGTTCATGACCACCCCGTCGAATGTTCTTTTGGAGCGGTCGACTTTAATTTCCTTTTGTAATTGTGTAATTTCATTCCAAAAAGATAAATGCGGCATCATCAAGTCTATCTTTTGTGTAAAATGATTTACCACTTTATCCAAATCGTGATTACTTGTAAGTCACCATAGCAAAGTTAAACTTTGTTGTTTCTTTGGATAAAAGGAGACAATTAAGGTGCAACGTAGAGCTCCCTAGTCCCCAGCTCGTTACTCTTGGTATTTATATCCCCGTTCAAAGAATCAAGTCCTCTGCCAAGTAGGGTTTACTCCAGAATTTTCATCCACTTGTCACAGCAAAGTAACTATTGCAGTTGATTCGTCTTGCTTATTTTTCTTCCGTTTTTCTTTCCTTTTTTTTTTTGGTCGGACGCCTGGCTACCTATTTCTTCAGATCAAGAATTCGCTCCTGTACTTGTTGCTTTCTCCTACACAGATCATTCAGCTAACTATGTACTGAGCTATGCCCTTCCTGCAGACGTTTCAAACTTTCCCTAACACTCTTAATCTCAACCTGCAACCTCCGACGATCTTCCTTTGAGTCCTCTGCTTCCTTATGCTCTGCCTGAAATTATCCATTAATATATTAAAGTTTAGGTTTGAGTTAATATTCATTAGTGGTTCTCACACTCCTCCAAGTGCAAGTGGGGAAGTTCCAACCCCTTCTTTTACCCCACTCTCCATTCTACAACCTTGGTTTTTAGTCACTGGAAGGTCAATACTCGACCCCAAAATCAATACATGAGCAAAAAAGCAAACCCTACTTATCGTGACATAAGTAGGCTACATGTGAGATCTAGGAAAAAAACTCTACTCAAACTAATTAATGCAATGCAATATTCTTTGTACACTTGCCAATTGGGCTCACCTAATTTCATAAGACCTCATTCATTTTATACACAAGATACTCATGTCACTTTCAGAATCCCTAAAACGTAAAAACTAATTGATTACTATTTAACCAGATAGCAAGTACAAAGAAATAATGGAAAAGATGTAACCTAAGTACCGTACTCATTGTTCAACACTTTTGATGTTATAAAAGCACCATATCTAAAGGCCTCCCTCTTTCTCAAACATTTCTAACCAAACTGAATTCGGCTACAAAGTACAAAAGTTAGCAGTAAAATGAAACTGGCAGCCCTCAAACTACATATGGCTGCAGAAAAAATGGCCCTTTGGGGGTTAGTAAAACATCAAAGAACTCGCTAGGAAGTTTCATCTATCTAAAGAAGGCCCATGTTTTCAATCTAATTCTTCATGTTATCTCCTGCAAACATGAAGACAAGTTGATTGAAACTAACTCTGTCAAACACATGGAATCCAACCAAATCCAGCAGTACATTCGTAAGACCATTTAACTAACACCCTTGAGTGATCACTACATTGGCATCCATCCATCTCAGGATTCAGTCCTAACCATTGAGTAGCTAGGTCGGACGAATCCAAACAGCGAAATGTGATCTAAGAGAGTAGAGCTTGTCATAAAAAGGAGCCGTAGTAGACAGCAGGCGCGGTGTCGGGTATTTGGAAAATGCTTGGAAAGCACCATCATTCCCAAAGGTGGAATCTTTAGCAGGACGAGGGAGGTTGTGCGATCCCAAAGCATAGAACGATGTCTTGTTGCTCGAGCACTGGAACCGCACATAATCATCAACATGGTCGTCATCTCCCGTTGAAGGCCTCCACCCTCCCGTATCGAAATCAAATACCACACAGTTGCGATACAGGCCATCTTTGACAACAAGCTTTCCATCGAACTCGAACATGCCCCCCGCGGGCCAGCGCCAGCTAGGGGTGCGAGGCTCTACTGGTCGAGGAACGAGCCAGCGCCAGAGTCTTGTCGAGAGCTCAAATCCCGCCAACACTAGATCCTGGAAAAGGCAGTAGAAAGTCCCTTTCAAGCACACCACCGACTGCAAGCTGAGCTCTGTTTGGGAGGCAGGGTGGAAGATGGGTTCTGGTTCCATAGTCCAATTACTATTAGTAGTTGCCGCATCAGCTTCATCTAGTACTACTGCCTGGCATGTACCAACATTGATCTCGCTCTGGCAGCGAAGCTTCTGATAAAAGGGTTCGTAGGTGCGGCGGTGAAGGATGGAGATGGCGAATACTTGGATGGTGGATGAATCGTGATCAATTGGAGGAGCAAAAGTGATGGCAGCCACTTTTCCTGGTACAGAGAGTGAGGGGAGGTTCACCATCTGGTCTCTGAACGGAGAGTAGAGGAACAATTCGACTTTCGCTCTGGTCTCTTGTTCTTCTGATGCTTCTTTGCCCATGAGAAGCCAACCTTTTCGGGAATCAAACGCTACTATTCTGCCGCTGCTGCCACGACTACCGAACTGCCTTCTTTTTGTCAGCGGGTACGAGGTTTGTTTCCACGGATCAAACATCATTGGCTGCCGTTCCATTGAGTTTACCGCCTTGGTATCTTGGCACAGCAGAAACATCCATGGAAGGCAGTTTTGGTCTAAGGGTGGAACTGGGGGAACGTCTCGCCAGCTCTTACACACGCTACGGCAACATATTTGATCAAAATAACTCAAACGCCCAAACACGATTCTCGTGATCTCCACCGGCAGCTCAATCCAACTTGGCCCTCCGCTGCTGCAACCTCTTAGTCTTTGACATTTTCTGATGGTCCACTTCTTCCTCATCCTCCCTGTCTTCTTCTTCTTCTTCTTCTCCGACTTTAATTGAACATCCTTCTACCAATTGTTTGACTCGAACTATATAAACAGAAAAGAAATCTGCTTGATATCGGGGAAAAAGAAAAGGAATCCGCATCTAACACTGACAAGGAAATCCGAAAAGAGAAAAGTAATTAATTATTATTATTAATTAATTAATTAAAAGCACAAGTAACCCAAATTGCGGGTCACTGTTTTTCGTTGAATCAGTTACCCTTTTGCATTAAGTAACGAACTGCAAATCAGCAATTCAAAAGATACAACGAAAACGGGGCACCATTATGGTTCCCAAAAGGAAAGAAAACAGAGTCAAGAGAAAAGCCTCCAACCAAGTCACTACTCTCAACTACTACTGCAGACTTAACATCCTCAAATCCCGCTGCATCACCTCATTAACTACATCTGCCTCTCGAGGAACCTCATCATGACATCGCCTACACCGCTCTTGCCATATATACGTGACTAAAAGGCACCATCTAACGCCAATCGCGCGATGTGGAGATCTTTGCACCGCTACACAGACTGCCTGCACAGTCTCCGCCCATGAACCTCGAACCAGCGCCTCCTGCGAAACCCCCTGCAACATCTTTCTAACATACTCACAAGTTACAAACAGATGGTCTCGTGTTTCACTCCCATTTCCACATAATACACACTGATCATCACTTATCTCCCCCCAACGCAGAAGTTTGCTTTTGGTAGTAATTCCATCAAGCAAAACCAGCAAGGCTATAAAACTAAACCGAGGCACATAATTCGGGACCCAAACTACCTTATACCAATCAACAACACTGTATTTTGGACGCAGAGTATTCCAGACCCGCTTAACCGAGTACTTTTCCATAGGACTCCCATCCCACAAGGCACAATCCCCCTGCCTGCTAAGGAAAGGTTGTACCTGTGAGCGTTTCTTCAGAATTCTTCGCCAAGCCCAGGAGTTATTTGCATTCTCCTTCATGGTCCAGATATCTCCAGTCTTACAGCGATAATGGAGCATCCAGGCAACCCATATAGCCCCTGACTGCATCATCAGTAACCACAACAAACGTAATGAACAAGCAGTATTCCAGGAACTAAAATCTCGGATCCCTAGCCCACCTTCTTTCTTAGGCCTTGCCAATCTCTCCCAAGCGATTTTTGCTCTACCTGTTTCATTCC